AATATGTAAAATGAAACGCTGAAAATTCCATGCTGTAAATTGTTATTGATGTGGAATAAAGTGATTATTATTACCTACTATGGACCTTACAAAGTCATCAGTAGCAAAGGAACATCTCTTGTCATTGGCTGGGAATGGCGCCAGCATGTGGTAAGCGTTGATCGACTAAGAGAAGCTTGCATTGAGGTTGAATCCCTAACTTCTGCGTCATCTGCACCAGGAAACTCCTCTAAGCCAAAGCCCAGCCCAGACGAGATTACCACAAAACCGCTTAAATCCGCAATGACACTGGCAGAATTACTTTGTTTGAGTGATCGTAGCTAATTGGAATTTCATATGCGTTGGTTATATCACTTCGAAGCCAGTCAAACCTAGGTGTCTGGAGGCCTAGTTTCAACAACGCTACGCTATATGATTTAACACAAAAGCCCAAGCCTTCTTCTCCATTCTCTGCGTAGTTCTTGAGAGGCTGACATCTCTTTTAAGGAATGATGATATTATGCACCACAAGATGGGGTATCACATAAGCCTAGTGAAGCCTGCAAAGCCTGGGTTGAGTGTACAAACTACCTCCTAGTAAAATGAGTGTCAGTACATACTGTGGCCACGTCTTCTATCTGCTTTTTTCGATAGAATTAGGCCTAAATCAACCACTTGAATTTTTCGAGTATAATCCATAATCTCCTAAACAGTAAGTTTTCGTTCGCAAAACATTTTTTTACATTTTGAAGACGAAAGGCATTCTATTGATCCTCGATAATTCTTCTACGGTTAAGCCTTTCCGATTCTTCTTAACACTTATCGCTCTCCACATCTTCATAACTTCATTGCGAAAAAGATTTGGTATTTTCAGATTATGTGGCATGCCACTGAATTAATACTAGAAAATTTACAGGCCGTATGATGGAACACGGTGAGATGTCATAGGTTGAGCTCGAGCGAGATGATCGGACACGATTGCTTCCGGTACAGGATTCCCTTCAATCGACTAAGCCTTCAAGCCATAACAAAGGCGGAACGCCAAATACAGCCTGACCTAATTGGTTAAGGAGAATGCCACATAAAAAGGCGCCAGGGTGAAGAACACCTATAACCCAGTGTGTAGCGCAGTCACTCCGCCCTAACATCAAATTTGTTGTAAAGGGTCTGTCTTTTCTGAAACTGTGCTGTGCCTTATGGAGTATGTTGTTCACTAATGCGTTATCTGAAATGCTCATTACATCACCAATAGTAATTGTAAAAAATATGCCAAAAATGACCTCTTGTCGCTCCGAAACCTTAAGTTTCATCTGTTCTTCAAGTGAGTGACTTGATATGATTATGAGCAATAGTTTGTACTCGGAACGTCATCAGTTAATATTATCGTATAACACTGTGTGATTCATCAAAATAGAACCTTATCTATAATGGGGGGATCATGCAAAATTCTGACAAGTTTCTTTGCAAACTCCACTGAGATCAAATTGACTCGAACATTAATAATAATAATATATTCTCATTTTTGTACATGAGGGACGCCATTTTACAGGCATCATCAATATGATAAATTACATATATGGTTAGTAAGCGTATTTAATAATAATTTAATAAAATACATATTTTTCCCTACCTGTGTACGACACACCAATTGCTGTCCTTAGTGTACTCAATTATTTCTCTACTAACAGATCAGTTTAGTCTATGTACAGCTGTGTGTGAGACAAAACCTTCACAGTTTGGTGTAGTATGTCCTACCTTAGCATAGATAGGGTTATGTGGTGTTCCACTGAAGTGCTCGCAGAGAACTAGACAAAAAACTGGCCTCGTGGGGATTGCTGCCTAGATCGGTCGTCGTCTGAGCGCTTTCCACCGGTAGCTGGTTACTAGTTGGCATATATTGCAGCTTCAGTGACTTTCTACCAGTGTCTTCTGCAAGGTCCTCAGTCAATCTGGAGTTTCTGATGGTACGTTGAAGATTTTGATTGTATTTTCTCTGAGTACTTTCAGACCAAAGGTTAAGGGATGGAGCGCTGAAGTTTCTAATCCTAAGTATTTTGTTAGAGGCCAGGTTCCGTACAATTGTGTGTAGTAGCTGTTTGTGTCCTGCTCCACAGGATAGTGGTTGATAGGGGGTATCCAACAGATGCTTGATGAAATGTTAACATATCGAGTCTTGGAGTTCAGTGATTGCTGGGCCCGTCTCTCCTAAATATCTTAACTGCTTGTAGACGTATGAGGAAGTTCCGTTCTCCTCGGTGTCTACTTTGTATCGCCTAACCAGAATTATATCTCTGACTTTCTAGCTGGTAGTAGTAGCAGTTAGTCAGGTGTCTGTCAGTATTATTTTGACATAAAAGTGCGGTCGTAAAATGATGCTTCGTAACCCGAGATTGCTGCTACGTTAGGGCTCGGATTAGGATTTTGGAGTGTCGAATATATGTCCACCAAAACTATCCTTGGGTCCACGACACAGTTGGCGCACCGTGGGTAGTCACCCCTGACAGCTGAACCTAAAATTTAGTAGCCATAGTGAGCTTGTCGATTTGATGTGAGTATGGGCAGTAAATCTACTGGCATGAATTGCTCCAGAATTACGAAGGGCCGTTTGAGATAACGGGCATTCTCATCACTGTACTTAAAACGTTTGTTTCTCGTAAGTGGTGTCTGTACCCAGTTCTGGAACACAGAGGCTAACCTTCCGGGTGCAGAGTACTAATTCCCATGATTACTTTACCATACTTCCGACTGCGCAAGGCGTATTAGATCTTATTTGCATACCAAAGGTTGTCTCTTTTGCTAGAACTTGAGAGAGTGATATATTCTGAGCGTTTTCAGCAGAGCTCACTGTAGTTTACCTTGAGTTAACTGGGCACCATTTTTCAGTCCACATAGTGTTGCAAGCTGAATATCGAGCTGTAATTTCTCCGCGCAGATTCGATAACTATTTCTGATAGAATAGTACTTTGTGTTCAGTTAGACTACTTTTGCACAAAGGTGCGTTGAACAGGATGGGATGGTTCGATAGGCTAGCCCCAAGCAAAGATTCAGTCCTTGGTTGCTTGTCGTACTTTTTGAGATCAGTACGCTTATCCAGCTTCAGGGTATTATTACTTTGTGTTTTCTTACCAAGAAGAGCTGATGCAAGCGATCTCTGTAGTGCGAAATTGACATGTTGTTCACGTCACCGCCTTCGTGCTGTTTATGAGAGTAAAAAAAACGTTGATTGTGCGTCAGGTGTCTTCACTCTCTGTGGATTTTTACACCTAGTCGGATGGGCCAGAGCATCTTCTTTAGAGATTTCGAATATTTTAGTGGTGTCCTGAGTGTATATTCCAATGAAACACAGTGAGACGGTGTTGGCGGTGACAAGGTGGGAACACGTACTGGTACCATAGGTACGGGTTGTTTCGTATGTGATCTTGTCACTCTTTTTCACACCAGCGGTGCAACATTCGTTCGCGAAAAGTGAATTCAAGGGTCAAGTCACTTTTGCACACTAAAGATTTACGGACCTAACATTTGTCTCACGAAACGCCTTCGAGATTCCGTGATGTCTTGATGGTTTCCTGATACTTCGGCTTCCTATGGAAACAGTTATCGTACCATGTCCACCCGATTGAACATGTATAAATTCGTTTTTGAAGTTCAGGGATAAACGAATGTCAAGAGGAATAGGGACATGTGCTTGGGTCTATGGAACCACATGCCGGAAGGCGTTAATTACTCCGGTTTGTTACCTTCCCTAGCAGAAGCCCTAGCCAATTCAGGTTATGGTGTAGTAGTGCATTTATTAGGACGAGAGTCAGCTGTCATATCAACACTTGATGTTAGTTATTGTCAAGTGACAAAGAGAGTAATAATACATGAATGTCCACCAAGTGGAATAAGTACAGGGTGCTCATAAAGTATATGAAAGGCCCTACATTTGGTCTTGAAATTTCACTTTATTTGGCTTACAGCAGTCGCATAGTGGACTAACAAACCTTATTTATTTGATAAAGTGAGGAGGATGCCGCTATAAAAGTAACATGTGAAGCTCGTCGAGTAGTTCTAGGCAGCTGAACTTACAACGGGAATTCAATATATAAGTTATAGTTGGCTTAGATTCATAGTCTAAGTAGATCAGGTTTACCAAGGAGATGGTCTTGTTGGCGGCTATCATATGGTAGCTCACTAAAGAGCTGTAGCTGTAGTACACCAGCAAGCCATACCGGGAGTGTCTAACTTCTCTAATTTCACATCGTCTAATGATGACGTCAAGTAAGAGTCTGTAAAACTTAAAAAAGGCTTTCCGAATAAATACTGGTATCAGTCATTTACTATATTCAGAAAACAGCTGTTTTTATTATAGTTCACTTACAATTTTTCCATACTTTTCATCCGTCATGCTTTATACTATTTTGATAGAGGTCGAGTGATGACTAACGGAGGGCAGTGCGCTAATCAGCACTCGTCACACTTACTCTCATACATGACTCTCTCATAACACTGACGTCCGCCGGATCTTATAACAGTGAAAGAACGAATGAATAAAACAATAATGAAGTAATAAAATGTTACTGGTGACCTGGAACGTGTGGGATAATTTTAGTGACTTTGGTTTAGACTGATAAACAAGGAATTTGAACATCGAATAGCCTTGAAGGTCACGAAGTTGTTGACACACCTATTCGAAAAGCTCCAAAAAGTCGGTGTCGAATGAATTTCTCCAGTAGATGCTATGGGGGTCCTTACGGCAGTTATTATTATCAAGAGTAAATTCAAATAGGATATTTGTCACTTTTTTAAGTAAAAGCGTGTCTCTGGATGTGAAAGCTCACGCGTGTCTCATGATTCTCGCGTGGGGCTTCTGCAATCCGAATGCGATAATAATCTCAAGACATTTTAAAAAAGGTTGGCCAGGGCATACAATTAATAACTTGGCGTATTGGTTCCAATTCCATGTCATCTTACAGTCGTTTATGCTGTCATTCGTCTTGTTGGCACTTATGATCATTGTTGTTCACGTAATGGGATATTCCATGTTAAAGGAGCTCCCTCTTAGTGCTCATCCCCCATGTGGATTTACTGTTATCGCTCTGACATTTTCAAATGTAAGTGCAGATAAGATAATCGTATATTCCAGCCTATTGTTGCATGGTTTCTTTGTACATCCACTGGTCGCCCTCGAGCAGTTGCAAAGTATATTCATCAAGTCGTAGGAATTTTGTCCCAAATGCTTGCTATACCAACGATCATGATTGGCTTTCAGATGCCGAGCCTGGGAGCTCGCTTCTGTTCCTCCCATATATACTCATCAATTTTCATTATTTCTGTTATTATTAATGTCATAATGGAAGTTATTTTTGAAGTAATTGGATACAAGATTCGGAGAAATGCGCGAAGTAAATGAAAAATAAATTGATATCAATGTCTTCATTTAAACTAGTTGTGCAGTCGGTTCTGAGTGCTGAAGCTAACGAAGCTGACAAGTTACTTGCTCGTATTGCAGAAGTGAGTAAGGACTATTCTTATGTAAAAAACTTGGTCTTTATGTTATTTTTTAATTTTAAAATGGTTACCTAGCATGGTGGTGCATTGAAAATCAGGAATGCTAAAAAATGTATCGTGAGTAAATGCACCGATATCACTAGGACTCGAATGTGGTTCAGGAATTACATTGTCCGAATACTATGCGTTTAAGTTTCGAATAAGTTCTTTCCTTGACTGTCTTATGTGATGCAGATTAATGGGTTTTATGTTAACAGCTAATCTTCACACAGATGGAGAAATTTTTCGAGATCACGGATAGAATGAGTGAAAACGTGGGAAATTTCCCTTTCTTAATTTGGATAGGTGGAAAACAATGAGGTGTTTTTGGTAACGAAATGGGTAATGTGGGAAAAGTGGCCAACAACATGGGTGACTATCTTACGTCATAACTCATGATTGGACGAAGTTTTTAAAAACAAGAGATGTTTCTTTTATATGTAAACCTCTGTTATGTTAATTTCGATTAATTTCCCTAAAGAAGTTCGGACCAGATTGCCGAACGAAACGTTGGAATTAATCATTTCACCTTTGCTGAGATTTTACAAATAAATTCTTTTACAAATATCTTACGTCAGATTTCATCCGCTTTTTCCTCACATCTCAGCCATTAAAAATTACTCATTCCTTTCATGTTTTTTTGACTTTTCTGATGTGCAGTCTTTGACTGGGAAAGCTCATGAAAATCCCCCGTACTTGATGTTGGATTGAGTTCCATCTTTGCTTCTTAGGGTCTACAGAATGGTCAGAAGGCGAATAAACCGACTACTTAGTAAATTCTTGCATAAAGAGACATGTAGACATTTATGATTCTGCCATGAATATTAGGTTTTAAGAAAAGGGATGATTGTGACAAATCTGTATTCGCACTGTCATTTGGGATACGACATACTAATATTACAGTGGATTTACATCAAATCAGTTTAGCCACTCTTCATTGTACAGGTTTACAAGTCACTTTTTCATTCTGTTCCTCACTATGTAACCTCGTTCTAGCATTTCTGGTAGGTAATTTAGATATCAGATTGTTCTACCTAGGTTCCAGTTTTTCTTATAATGTTAACGCTATGGAAACAATTGGTCCTAAAAGCCATACCCATTTGGGAAATGCGCATTTCCTTCGGTATGTTGAATAAAAGTGTCACTTATTTTTCTGGTAGTTAGGTAACCATGCTCGTTAAATTCCCCTAACTTAAGTTTCCAACTAAACTCTAGTGTCTGGTTATGAAGACTGTGCCTACTTTCTTGGTGAATTTGACTAACTTGGTAACCTTAAATGACACCAATATTCATAGTTTACACCGGTGAAACTCAAAAGAACCACAGGGTTTCTAATTGTATGAGTTGTGGTCTCCTTACTTTTCTTAGTTTGCTATCTTTATAAACTTGAAAAACATCGAAAAACTAGAAGTCTCTAAGTGCTTGAATGTTATGCGTTATGCCCATCTTTACACTTTTTACCCAAATCCTCATATAGGTAAGTCTAAACTGTAGTGGAAATGGAGGGATCTTATAAGCTTTTTTAGTCCCGTATGAGTTTCTTGACTTGCTTCTTTATCCAAGGATAACAGCTTCCTGATGAAACTGAACTTAGACCTAAGTTATTCAGCAGACTATGTACACTAAGGCAAGACATAATCATTATTCACCTAAGTAAAACGGTTATTAAGATTAAACATGTATTCACTCAATGTGTTGTAAAATACCATACCTTAAATTCTTCAACTGTGTATAAGTGATCTGTTCTTAACTTAATAGTTGGGTTCGCTTTAACCAGGAAAATGCTACTTTATAATGTGAATCAAATCTTTTAAAATCATGCGAATTACCAGATATTAAATGAAAAAAGAATGTGCATACACGTATCAGAAACAGATGACTAATAGTTTTTTGAAAGACGCGGAACGCAGTTAAAACGGGTAAAAGACAGACATTAGGTATATATCACTATAAGTGAAATACCTATAATCAGTTCGAAAAGATAACCTTCCTTTCGAAGTTTTTACTCAGAAATTTAATCCAGATACTTTTATGTATAATCAGACTAAATCATCGTTCTCGAGTTAAAATACCGTTTTGATTGCAATTATGACATCTTTTCACATAACGTCAGACCTAGAATTTGTTGCAGTTAGCCAACATAATTTTTTGTTGCTTGAATTTGCACATATGATAGAGTAAAATGTTAGTATTTTTTGAGGGCTCTTTCTTGATTAGGAGTTTTCAGTTTTAATACTTACACTGTTGGTGGACAGTTTTCAAGTATTTTTCTCATCTGCACTAGGTACACTATATTTGTATGAAAACATTTCAACGCCTATCACTTAAGAATTCATGAAGATGTGCTTAGAGTTTAGAAAACCATCATGCATTTTTATTGTCATGGTAACGTTTAGTTGGGAAACAAGGTAAAAGTAAACTACGAAGGCTTACAGGCTCTTTGAAATTTATCGCATATTCGGGAACAGTCATCAAATTTCGTTTAGTCAGAACTTCTCAGATTTTATCCAGTTTGTGTAAACGTGTCATAAACCGTATTTTTGGAGTACCCTTTCGGTTGCGGTAGATGGCATTCCCTTTTCTTACGAACGGAGTTTACCAGCTAGTTACTGAATTGTTCCTGAAAGAACATATTTATTGGCATTTGACATGTAACTGATTGGTTCAAAAAACTTCATAAGCTTCTTAACAGACTCACTCTCTACATCGATCGTCCTGTAACTGTCCTCATTATTACTTACTGTTTCGCTATACTCATCATGAAAGACTAAACTCAGAAACTCACAGTAAACTCTACTAATGTTTCCATATTTTTCGAGCTCAATGGTCATGTCTTAGGAGAGAAGTAAGACTAAGAGAACTTCTGTACAGTACACACTTCTTATTGTGGGTAGTCGGTTATCTCATCTGCACAAAGTGCATGTGCTAATACCAAACGAGGTTTCTCCAACAAACAGTCGAATAGGGCTGAAGCCACATTTTAAATAAGTGACGTAGCAATCTCACCCTACCATTTCACTCCATGTGCTAAAAAATGAAGTTAGTTAGGACACTCTTGCAGCATCATTTTACACTTGAGAGAGTCACGTTGCATGCCAAAGACTTATAGACCTCTACTCAAGATATACGAAAGACTCTGAGTTTTGCCATCATATTCACTTGGAAGGCAGTATCATCTGTATAATCTAGATAAACGACTCTTCTGTACTGACAGATTAATCCCCGAAAATTGAAGTTGGTAAGGGTCAAATCCCTTAATACATCCATAATTCTCTATACGCTCTTACAAGACTGAAGTAGTTTCGTCGGAGCGCTACGATTATTACGATATACTGTCTAAATATTCCTCTCACAACCAGCCATTATCACAGCGCGTGTCAATCGAAGGAATGAATGAAAACATGTTTATCTTCCACGCATGGCAGATGTTAGGCCACAGTAAGTATGTCTGTGTTTCAGAACCGATCGAAGCGTGAAGATGTGGTCAGTGCTCACTCGTCTTGGTTTTCTTGAGTTTATTTTTACTGAACCTTTCTCATTTTGATTAAGAAGGTGAATCCTAATATTTTAGGTAGTATATTTGTCAAGCTGTTTCCTCAATTTATATTAGAGAATGCAAAAACGTTAAGGCGGTATGTATAGGAGTGTAATAACTCGAACGGCTGCATATGTGTGCGAATTTCTACGCTGAAAGCAGTCGGTCAGTCAGTTAGCTATGGATAGGACAGGTCTCTTCTGAAATAATTGTCAGATTGAATGAACGCTACAGAGAATTTGTCAGTCCACTATGAAATGCAGTATAACGCACAAAACTGAGAGTCTCTATCAACGAGTCTGTGTCCTATAGTGTCAGGTCACCACATCGGTTATGTCATCATTGGCTTTTGAAAAATTATCGCAAATGTTTTATAGCTGGATAAAATGAAATACTCAAATGAGTATGACGTGCGTCGCTGGCACAGTGATTAGGACTCTCGCCGACCATGCACATGGTCCGGGGTTCGATCCCCTGGCGGCGCACACCCGATATCTGTGGTCGGCCTGTAAATTTGGGCTACCGATATCCAAGCTGAAAATTCCATACTTGTACTGAAAATACGGTGTGGAATCAAGCTGTAATCAAAATAATAAAAAAAAATAAAATAAAATAAATAAATGACAGAATTTAAAGCACGTTGATTTAGCTTAGCCTCATTTTACTAGCACTTATTAGAAGGAATACTCTTAAATACACACACAAAAATCACAGTTTATGCATTAGTCACTCACAAATTGAAGTTAAGCACGTATTCATCAAGTTTCAAAATGATTGAAGGACTTTGATTGATTTTCACTATATTAAATTTGATATCCCTATTAGGATTAATTAAAAAACGTCACTATAAACAGTGTTTTGTTTTTATTCACCGAGGAAGTGAAAACTATAAGATGATGAATGCCGGTAATCCAAAGCCCAGGTATTTTTCAAATTATCAATTCTGGAAACAGCTAAACACATCTGAAACTTGACTACATCTTTTATTATTATTATTATTGTTTCCTTTAATTCCTAGAGGAACATAGGGCTTCAGCCATGCGTCTCCATTGCCTTCGGTGCTCTGCTAGAGTCTTCACCTGGCTCCAAGTCTGCCCACACGTTTTCATCTCCTCTTCACATGACCTCCTCCAAGTCACCCTCGCACTGACGACCAACTCGCCGCTTCCCTTCAGGTTCCACTCGAAGGCTTGTCTAGTGATGTCACTTGATGGCTTGTTTCCTCAGAGTACGGTCAATCCATCTCCATTACTTCCTGCCTATTTGTTTCACAATCGGTTCCTGCTGTGTTGGTTCGCTCACTGCCAGAGATCCCACCCTGTTGCTGATCTTTTCTGGCCGGCCATCTGATCTTGAGTATTGATCGGAGACAGCTGTTGATGAAAGTCTGTAGTTTGTTTGAGATGCCCTTTATGACGCGCAGTGCAAGTCTCTGATCCGTAAAGTAGCACTGACTACACATTGGAGTTGAAAATCCGGATCTTGTTTTTCATGCTGAGTGCTGTTGACCTCCACACAGACTTGAGAGAAATGAAAGCTTGCCTTGCTTTTCCGATCCTCGCTTTGATATCCTCGTCAGTTCCGTCCGCCTGTAGTTGAAACGATGCTTCCCAGGTAGGTAGGTAAAGGAGGTTGTTTCTTTCAGATTTCTCCCTTTTATGCTGATTGTTGTCTGTTGTTGTTGCTGTTGACCGAGAATCTTCATTACCTCTGTTTTCTCTATGTTCACCTGAAGTCATATCTTCTCTGGATGCTTCTTCTGCCAACTTGTTGCTTTTCGTTTGCATATCTTCCAGTTTGTGGGAAATCAGACATATATATATATATCATCGGCGAAATCCAGGTCCTCGAAGTTTTTTGTATGGGTCCATTTTATACCTGTCCCCTCGTTGCCCGCCGCTGTCTGTTGCATTCTCCAGTCTACCGCAATCATGAAAATCATTGGCGATAGTAGGCAGCCTTGTCTTACTTCTGTCCTCACTTCGAAGGATTCCGTGAGTTTCCCGTTGTGGATTACTTGGCATGCATCATCGTCGTACAACTGTTGGATGAGATGTATAACTGTCGGCGGCACCCCGTAGTAGCGAAGTAGTTGCCAAAGCACCTCTCGATCGACGCTGTCGAGTGCCTTTTCAAAGTCGATGAAGTTGAGATAAAGAGGTGACTGCCATTCCAAGCTTTGTTCAATGATGACCCGTAGTGTTGTGATTTGACCAATACATGACTTGTTTCTCCTGAATTCAGACTGTTCCGGTCGAAGTTTTTCATCCAGGTTGGCATGTTTGATTCTCTCCAGGATGATGCGGCTTAGTATTTTGCTTGGGATGGACAGGAGCATAATTCCGCGCCAGTTCTTGCATTCAATATTCTACATTTTTATCGATGATGAAATAACCTTGGGAATTAGAAGACCTAATAGCTGAATAACAAATTGCTCTTCTCATGTTGATAATCAAACTATGTTGAAAGAATATGTGATTGTTTTGTATTTATATACTGGCGTACAGTCAACCTAAGAGAAATATCTGATCAACTCTGATTTCATATTTTGATTACAGAATTAAAGCATATCGGTATATTTTTTTTAATACTCCTTTATTCTTAGTTGGTAAACATATTTCTTAGTATATAGAAAATGAATGTTGTTAGTACTGTAAAAATGAAAAGAAATAAATGAGACATAATGAAGCGGACAGGTAGGAATTTCACTCGATTATTCACAAAACGTAGGTTGCTTACCTTATAAAATAATAATAACAGGGTAATTAGTCACCACATGTATTTGGCTTTATTCGAGTTTACTGGAAAATAAGTTTATTCATGTGTTATGCCAAAATGCGCTGACTTTAAGGGATATTCGGTTGTCTTGAATAGTAACTACACTCTTAACTCTTGATGCTCGAAATTAGTTTTATGTACTCAGCTGGAATTTTTAAATTACACTTTACTCATTTAAAGAACTGTTTACAGAATTAACAACTGAATTATGTTTTTTTTTTAAATTCTAGGATCCAAAACATGACGTCATGTACCTGGGACGACATAGTTCGGAGTATACGGTATGTTGACCAAAAGCCATTTATAAGTCAATTTTATTCTTACTAGTACTGAATACGTACTACTTGCTAGATTATGTATCAAAAGGCCTGTGAATTTATGCTCATGAAATTTTGAAAATAGATAACATGAATAAATTTATCGAGTGTGTGATGTTTACAAAAATAATATTTAGTTACATATCTTTGTTAGCTAAGAATACTTACTTGGCTTTATTATTTGATTCACAGCCAGTGGATCTCGAGTTTGAACCTCGTTCCACCTGTGACGCTAATGAATATCTTCTGCGTTTACAGTAGTAGGTGTCACCTTTGTCTTGACATACAAAAAATTCCTTTAAGGTATTTAACCCAAGTGATCATGACTTAGCTTTTTAATCACTAAAAATTGGCTAAATTGTTTACACCACTGTTAATTGATTTCCTAGTTTGGGAGAAATTCGTAGCATTCACCCATCAATTGGTATTTCAGGAGGAATATTTAAGTACAAATGAAAAAAAGAAATGATTACTTTTCATTCCTTTGTTTTCCCAGTAGAACACACGGGTTCATGCTTTAGGCCTTGAAGTTCCAGTAACACTTGGGGTGTTTTAATGTTGCGATGGCCAAACCTTCATCCTATCAACAGAATCTGACACCAAGTTATAAAGAAAGTGTGAAAGGAACATTTCACTTGTAGTTAGTTTTAGAGACGATCTACTGAAAGCCATAAATTTCGTTTTCCTATCTTTTCATCAGTTGCAGTGTAACAACTAGGGTCCACAGTATCTGGTCGACTAATTTCAGTTATCAGACATTAGATGGGGCGGCGATCATTGCTAGTTAGTCACTGCTAACTTGGCTAATCTTAAATGGTCACGAATGGTGACTACGTAAATTAATGACTTCTTTACAGCAAAGCATTAATCTACTTCGTGGATGTGCATTTTGAAGATAGTCAAAGGGATTATTAAACCGACATACGTCCACGAAACTTCTTTGTCTGATTAGTTATGGGAGTAACTGCCATTTTTTCGACCAACAAGCCTATAACTCACGCTTTATTCTGATATTTCTGTTCAATATTTCTGTTTACAGAGCCTAAAGAATCTAAGAAATATACCAAGAGAAATCACTCAAAATCATAATGTAAGTTTGTTTTCATGTAGTATTAATACACTTATGGTCCGAGACTCTCAGTATATATATATATATATATATATATATATATACGAGGGATAGTCATGACTCGAACTGCCGAAAAGTCGACGGAAATGTGCAGAACACCTTAGAACAAACTGCATCATTCACTTTTTCAAGGAAATGGAAGTCACCAACAAGCGGGGTGCAGTTTGTTAATTCATAGTTTAAACTGGCTAAGAAGCTTGCATTTAGTCTCTCTTGAAATAGTTCAACACTAGAATGAATAAAAATAGAAAGAGTTATTCAACTTTGAGTAACTAATCTCTGTGTGGTCTTTGCAGTTCACCAGTTAACCTTAATTATTTTTGCTCAAATCCTGATGCTACATTACACGACTTTATCAGTAGAATGAACAGTTAAACATGAAATTGTATGGAAAAACGAATTGTTTGGTATAATGCTGAAAGTCTCGTTTTTTCTTCTTTCTTTACATTTCAGTTATGGATTGTCAAGTATTTTCTCCTGGCTGTACACTTAGCGATTACTTTCAGTTTAATATTTGTATTAGTTGTATTATTTGCTTCATAAATCATCATTTCAGGCATATTTTCTTCTTTCTCCTGTTGTCATCAAATGAAAAGAATAAATGAAACACAGCCACACACAAAACACCTTTTTCTTGCTTTCTGATGAGTGAAACGATGATCAAAACGTCGTTAATGTTGTGAACAAATAAACTTTTTTTTAAAATATGTGAACATTGGTGAGTTCATTGTGTTTTTTTTGTCAAACCTATGAAGAGACTCGTTTAAAAGTTGATCGATTGAATCAGAATAATATCATAGAATAAATTGATGAGTCATGAGTCATTCTATTCATAGTACATCGTTTTAATTTCATAAGCTAATAATTATTTGAAAATTACAGAAATAAAAGTGTTAAGCAGGCTAAAATTATGATTTTACATTGTTGTAAAAGAAATATTCTGAATGTCATAGAAAACACTGGAGTGTTGTGCTATGAAAATAAACAACTGAACAAAATTTAATTTGGCAGCCACACAAACTGAGATGTACATCTTTTATTTATGCAGGCAGAGTTATCTTAAATTTGTACCATTAAACCAAAAAGAAAGCTTTGCGTCAGACAGTACCACTTTATTTCTGATGGCATCAATCGTGTATGTCGTTTTACAACAGCTCCCTAACTTTTATGGATTTTTAAGCAAAAATTGCTTTGAAGTTATAAGTTCTTCAAACCAGTGATGAATGTAGAGTTACAGTACATTCACTTTCTATTATTAGTTCTTTTCGTGTCGAGTGGGACGTAGGGATTCGGTGACACAACTCTAATGCACTCAGTCATTCGCTTTAACTTTTTAGCTGGTTGCAACACTGTTCACAAGCTTTCACATTTCTTCTACACATAATCTCCCCCTATGTAATCCTCAGATGTCCAGTCTGCAGCTTTCCATTCATGTTCGACTCAAGGTCCTAGAGATCGAAGAAATAGACAGGAAGGAGATTGTACGGAATACTTATAGCTCGCGACGAGAATGAAAACTGTTTGAGCATTGATATTTGAACATGAGCTTATTGACATATGAAGCGATAATTTCTAACACATCAAGTGTATGAACTAAATGTACGCTTAGCATTTAGACAAGGCGTTATCACCACTGTAATTATTAATCAGGATTACCAGTTTCTGTAAATATGCGGTTTGGTTAGCATTTCCAATGAAATATGCAGATAATATATTGCCAGTGCCTTGTAAGTGATTACTGTTGCATTACTGCGAAACACACTTGGAAAGAGCGACTCAGAACATATTTTGGATTTCTGGAGAGTTATATCACTTGTATAAGAAGGCTGGAGATATGACCTCATTGTACAGTTGATGGTTACTGCAACATTAGATATTAAATTCTAAATCACCACAGCGGTACAACAATGATATACAATTTTGTAATTCTGATAATATAAATTAAATCAATGTGCAAGCTTTTTAAATTGTTGTTTAAACTGTCTTAAATTAAAGATACATACTTACTTACCAAAGGAGGAGGAGAAAAACTAAATTAAAATTGCATTTCTACAACAAAGTTTTCATGTCGCAACATGACTTCCTGCTTTCTAACCATAATGAAAAATGCAAATACCAGTTCACATTCTTCTTCTCTGAATTAAGTTCTTTTCTTTAGGTTTATGTTAAGTGCTGATAAAACTCTCTGTCTGTGTGCATTTCATTTAAATACTGTTTTCTTCTGAATACTTTTATTTCAAAAAAGAACGTCTGACCGAACCGTAAAACATTCTGACATGTTTGTTTGCAGTTTAGCTAAGTTTAGATTAGCTTAAACAAGATAATTCTGGATTATTGACTAGTGTTTTAGTAATAATAAAATAATTGCCAGTGATAGTTTGTCTGTAAGCACAACCTTCTTTCCACGAATGAATATACAAAGTTTGTAGATCATAGGAATATCTGAGTAGTATGATCTCTTGTGCAAATATCAACTAAACAAAATATCTTTCAGTGTTAACAGCTTTGGTGGTAATCAGCAATACTCCCGAAGATAATTTCTCCTCATCTTATACAATCACTGGATTAATATAAGAGAAGAACTTGGACAGTGTATTGAAAGGTGAATACGTTTCAGTGAGTAATAGTGACCAGTGTGTTTTCTGTTAAATAAACTGACTTAATGTGGAGTTAGCCTCAGCATGTCTTGTGAAACGAATACAAGTTACACGATTTCAGTAATTATCAGTGGCAGCTTTGTGAAACTTTAGCATAAAATATGTCTGTATAACTTGACGAATGACGTAAAAGCTGATGAAATTCTGACATCATATTGTTGTAAAAGGTCTTTTCTTCTCGTAGCTTAGCAGGAGGTGGAGGTGTACAATGATTTAGATTCTCAGAACTATTTATTCCACTCTTTGGATTTAACTTAGACGAAAATTATACGAACCTTAGTTGTTAACTTCAACAAGAAACCTTGAAAGTACCTTCAATACATACTCGTTTTCTCTTCTTTGTACAAGTAGTAATTAGGTATGTTTTATTCAGTTACTGGATAGCTCTGTTCACGTTTATTTAATGTTTGCATGAGTTTATGCTTTTTCAGAATGTGAGTTAACTATCACTAACTAAAACATAAAATACCTTTGACCAGTGTTCAATGCTATGGTTGTAGCACACTTTAATTCATGCATACTGATATCCAGTAGTAAAATTATCGTTTATCTCAGGGAGGTGTCTGTTTTCGCAACTGTTTCCACTCATTGTCTGCAGAACGTACTTGTCAAGTCTATGACTTTAGAGAGAATTTATTGAAGTTCGAAACCCCGAGGCCAAGCATATTTGCTGAACTATTTGTAGAATCTTATTACTGTTGATTCACAATTTGAATAAATTACAGATTCAGAGCCTAACACTAAACGCACTGACTCTCAGCGCTTTGTAATGCAATTTAATATTCACAGTGGAAACTTCATCAATCAAACATGATTAGTGTTTAGGAGTTGATTGGCCATTTTTTCACATTTTTCAGTGTTTGAATTTACCAATTTCTTTATAAGTATTACTCCTATACTTTAGGATGATAACATTTCCAAGGTAAAATTAAAACAAAAATAAATAGACGTAGCCCCGAAAACTTCGGAAACCGTCACTTTTTTTTCAAATTTTCAGTCCTTAACTAGTTCACCTGAAGGTGTGAAAGTTCTTTTTGAAAAATGAAACAGCAAATACATGCCAAGTATAAATCTATGTGTTTAAGTACAAATAATAATAGTAGTATTACTTTCCTTTACATTCTCTTACATAACTTTATAAATTTTCTTTAAGTAGCTTTCTCCAGCGTTGAAAATTCTGTGACGTCATGATTAAGAATGGAATATTATTTAAGGATTGAACTACTGCCTAAAATTGTTCGCAGGCCTGGTAAAAGACAGAAAGTCGGGCGTGAGTCTATGAGCCGCTGCCACTGAAACTTCAGAGATCAAGCCTTAAGTCCCGTGTTCCATTCAGAACGCAAAGAATAAAATCATTAAAATATGACTGCATGGCACGCACTGAAACTGATTTCACTACAATCTACTATCAGTTAGAAAACCATTAAAAACCGAGTGATTGTTTTGTTCTACTTTAGAAGTCAGTAGAACTGTGTGTCTACAACTGCTGACTTTGATCGGTAGTGAAGAGTATCTTGACATCTAACAGTTCCGATTTATCAGAAAGACGGATTCAAGAATATGGGCATAAGCGAGAATATAAGGTATTCTTGTGGAATCAGAACGCAGATGATAAAGTAAAGTGACATAAATTTTACGAATTATTTGTAAATAATATGTGCGTATACTCAGTAACATTTATTTCACTGGATAGGTTTATGAATCTCGACTACCTTGTTGAGTAAACATATGCCACCTATCTCAGATTTTTGAATGCAAAAGCTATTCACCATGAAAGGAACGATTTTATACGTTCAAATCCTGAGCATAGTTATCAACTTGAACATAAATAGTTGAAAAATACATTACAAAACAACTGTTTGATAAACAGCTTAACTATGCAGTTGTTCTTTATAAACGTCGCTTGCCTTTTTCTGGAGCACACTTCAACACACGTAGTGGTTTAAAATTATACAGTAATTTGTGTACATCAACACACAGCTACTAGATTCCCTTTCTAGGTGAACTTTCAGAGTAGGTATGATGCCAGGCGACTATGAATCCGAAATCCCTTCAACTAATATCAATACCATATCCCTTAGAGTATTTGCTATATTATAAGTTCAGTCGGCAGACGTAGATCAACTCCTTGTCTACGCTATGATCCGTCATTGTAAACACTTTGATTATCAGTACAATTGACGCAACAAAATCGTTTCAAACCGAAGTATTAGCTATCACATAATTCAGATAATTTAATGGCAAGTCGGTGATGAATAATAATAGTTTGACAATCCATTATGTAAGGGTTATGCGTGTTCCTTTCAAGCTCTGATACACCATAAGACATTGAAAAGATGTAGCTAGTAAGTCATAGGTCAAGTAGAATACAACGGAAACAACATTAAATAATAAACAAAATCAATATAATGTCTGGTGAAAAAAAACCACAACACACATAACTTCTACACATAACATAAAAATACGGGTTGTAATGATAGCTTAAATTATATAAACCACGTTGTTTATTGTTGTTTCTTACTTCATAATACAAATAATTAGCACTGATTTTTCTCCTTTTGGTAGAGAAAAATCAGTACTTGGTTAGCTTTGCAAAGCTTACACTCTCCGCAATAGTCTCAATACTGCCTGACCTAATAACTCTTAGTGATGGAGAATCAATCATATGATATACGGGCATGGACAAAAAAGACATTTGTATGATGTATATGACATTTACAAACACTTATTATTAGTTGGTAATTGAAGTCTGTAGGGGTGTTTGTATCAAAATGTCATATGATTGTTTCATATCAGTTTCTTGCTTAATTAATTTAAGTGATTCTAATTAGATGATTCATGGTTAGAATTTGATGAGCTATATTCCATAGATTTCATTGTTTGTAT